TATTATTATTATTATTATTATTATTATTATTATTATTATTATTATTAAATAAATAATAATAATATTGTTTAAATAAATTAACCCAAAATGAGTACAATATGCATTCAAGTAGAAATTTCTATTTATTTTGGGACTTGCTTTCTGAAAACATTAAAATATTTTAGTATTTATTTTAAAAAATCGACTAAATGTTGTTACATGTGGTTGAAATTTTTCCCCCTTATAGTTTACCATTATTTTTTACCACATTTTACCTCACAACATGCATAAGGCCAACATGTAATAATTCATAACAATTGTTTAACCTAAATTTGATATTTATTGCATTCAAAATGTTAATGTCATACATAAAAACCCTGCCTTTGATATCATTAGTCACACATTACAGTTTATTTGGTCTATTTAGTTATTATAGTTGAACTATCTATGTGTTAAATCCTAAAAAAAAACTTGAACTATCTATATGTTGGCCTAAAACCAAATAGTAGATAGTTAAACATTAGCCTTGGGGTTATCCATCTTGCTTTTATCCATTTCCTCTTTTCAAGACTTTGATCTGACTTTTGGAAATTGGTATTTAGTCAGTATAGTGTAGTATTTCCATTTGTCCACATAATGCTCATCTCAGTCCTAATATAATTGAAAAAGTAACTTCATACATGGTCCTAACATACTAAGCATCTTATTCCTCATTGTTCTAGTTCAGTTGGGAAACACTGTTCTAGAAACATCCTTGAAAAATGTAATAATAATAATTTACATTTTTCCTTTTGAGAACATTTGCGGTGATAAAGACAACACACCAAACCTCATATTCTGATTAAAGAGAACCTTTCACAGGCATGAAATCTGTGTTTTCCTCCTCCTACTGACCCCTTACGGTGAGAAAAAGGCCGTTAACTGTAACAAATTTTGTGTGAAGTGAGGGATTTTAGCTCTGACGACTCATCATATTCAAGTAAGTACGGCATGAGTTTGCCATTGTTTGCCATATTTTCTGTTTTGATCATCTCCTCTTGGAAACATGATCTCTGACTGTGTTTGACTTTT